GGCCACAAGCCACATGTGGCCGTTGAGTAGCTTGGATGTGCTTATTCTAATTAAGATGGACTGTGACTTGGTATTAAAAAAGAAGGATATAAAACGATTCATTAATAATGTTTATATTGATTATCTGTTGCGATGATCTTATTTTGTGATAGATTGGGTTAAATGTTATAATGTAATATAAAATAATATAAAAATGACAAATGAATTTTATCTGTTTTTCTTTTACGGTGTTTTAAATGTGGTTGTTAGAAGACATAAAATGATGTATGTGGCTCACATTATTTTTCAGAGAGCAGCACCGTGGCTGGGGCAAGAGCTCAGGCTTTTAAGGACTGGCGCTTGGAACAGATTTTGGACGTTACTAAGAGGTAAGGGAACAGCCTCTGATTTATCCTTTCTTCTCCCTCCTCGCTTGAGCCGGGCCGTCGAGAACACAAGGAGGTTGCTGATGAGGACCAAAGCGATGTGGCTTTAATGTTGGAAGAACTGTGTTAATCACGTGCTGTACAACAGGCACTTTCCTTACCCTACATTACTTAATCTGTGAGGCAGATGCATTTGAATCCCATTCTATGGATGAGCAAAGTGGGCTCGCAAAGGTCTCCTAACAGGGCCAGGCTCTGAACTCTGGAAGTGGCTAGGGCAAGGTTTGAACCCAGACCGTCTAGTTCCACAGCCAGGGGCTCAGCTACTCCACATCAGGGACAGCAAGGGTGGGGAAGACCCATCTGACTAGCTGGATGGCGCCTCGAGGGACAAAGGAACCAAAGGGGGCCTTGGAGCTGGCACTCCGGGGGTTATTACCAGGGTTTGTGGCTCACCGTGTGGTTTTAGGCGAGGCAGCTGTTGAATCGTCTTTCAGGTGGAACGATGGACACCCCTGGTGTCCTTGGGGAGCCTGAATGAGAGGTAGGCAAGCGCCTGGATCCTGGCAAATGGTTATCATTCATTGAGCTGACCCTTTACTTTGGGGAGGGTACTTGTCCCCAGTCCGTCTCTCTGCACCTGCCAATCCATCCACTTCCTTCACTCATTCACCCACTGCAGCCATGTGTCAGCTCCCTGTGACATCTCAGGACCCTGCAGTCTAACAAGATGTAAGCCAGGCCCAGCGGAAGCTCACTAGCCGACCGGTGAATGGACATGGAGAGCAGAGCCCAGGGGCCCAACCACGCCTGCCCGCCTTCCTGGAATCAGGTCCATCAGGAGCGCCGAGGAGGTGCTCAGTCCCCCAGCGCCAGGGAGGTGGTGAGCTGAAGGTTGCAAGCTCACCTGCCTGGCGACCCAGCCTCCCCAGAACCAGGCTCTGCCTTGCCAGCTCCCTTCTATGGTCCAACCGGGAGGCCCCTTCCAGTGGCTTCTGCCAGATTTGACAGGGGCCCCCACCTGTCTGAATTCCTGGATGTTGCACCTGTTTTAGTGTCATGGGGCCGCTGAGAAAACCACGGATGGCGGCAGGGGGAGGGGGGGGTTGCTTAAAGCAACAGAAATTTATTGTCTCCCGGTTCTGGAAGTCACAAATCAAAGCGTCGGCAGGGTCCTGCTTCCCGGGAATTTGCAGGAAAGAATCCTTCCATGCAACTTCCAGCTTCTGGTGGCAGCTAGCATCCTTTGGCTTACAGATGTGTCCCTTCCGTCTCTGCCTCTGTCATCCCATGGGCTTCTTTCCTGCACGTCTGCATCTCTTGGTCATGAGGACACCAGGCATCTTGGATTAAGGGCCCACCCTACCCCAGCAGGACCTCATCCTAACTGGTTACCTCTGCAATGACTGTATTTCCAAATATGGTCACAGTCTGAGGTTCTGGGAAGGGTACGAATGGGGGGACACTCCACAACCCAGCACACATCCCACAGTCACGTTCTACCCACTTACAAGGACACCTCATGTTTTGTGGCTGGCCTCCAGACCTACCTGCCTTCATGCTAACGCATGGTGCCGGGCCCCAGCTTCTCCTTCTGGTGATGGAGAGGGGAGCTCTGGTGGGGAGAGAACAGGGTCTGGGTGGAGCCTGCCAGAGGCCTCCTAGCAAGCTCGCCAGCCAGGAGAAGGGTTCCGTCGTACTGGATTCATTCATCTGAGATGTTTTTCTTATCGGAGCTACTGAGAACATGCAAGATCATCCACCAGCTTGCCAGGCCAACAAACGCAAGTTTCCTCATTTTTGTATATCCCCTTCCAGTGTTCGCCCAAGCATCGAGTATTTTGGTAGTCGTGTAACGCAGCGGAGATCCGATTCGTTTTATGGGTTCACTTTACTTTCTCTCAGAGGCATTTTCCCCATTGCTAGTCTCATAATTATCACTTTAAAAGCCGCATAATGTTGCATTAGCAGGATGTACCATGATTTACTTAACTAAATGTCCAGCCGTGGTAGGACCGTTGTTTTACTATTTAAATAGCGTGATTATGAACATCTCTGGAATTTGGCTTTTTGATTCTTATTTAATTCTTTGAAGGATTACATTGAAAATTAAACATTGCATTTCCGTTTTCTTTAAATAAATGATCTCTCTGATATCCTGACATTTTCTTAAGAATTTAGCACAGAAGATAGATTGTAATATGTAACACTGTTTGCCTGTTCGACTTTGCCTTTGCTTTTCGTCGTAGCAGTAAAATCACATCCCCTGGGAGCCAACCTCCTTCCACTTGACCTCCGTGTGCTCTGGCTGGAGCCAGCCTCACCCCAGTGCCAGGGGATGGCATGGGAATGTCCCACACATGGGGGACAGCATTTCCAGTCCCCTTGGCCACAGAAGTTGGCCCAGGGATGGGAAGATGGTCAGGTTTGTGCCAATCAAGTTGGGCCCAGGGTTTCTGTAGGAATCACTTGGAGGATGGAACCTCTCTTCCTGGAGCCGTGGAGATGGAAGCCTGGAGTGTTGGCAGCCACTATGCCACCATGAGGTAAGTGTCTGGGCACAAAATGAAATGAAGGGAATGGAGAAGACAGATGGAGAGAGAGAGAGAAAAAAAAGATAGAGAGGGGAGATGAGGAGATGGGGGGAGAGGGGTGGAGGAAAAGAGACACGGGGCCCTGAAATTGTAGATTGAGTCCCTAGATGGTACAGGTACACAAGCCATCAGATGATCTTTCCTTGCTGAAGCCCTTGTGAATTTGTGTCTCTTGTCACCAAAGTGGTGCTGTTGGGTATTCTGCATTAGTGCTTGCATACTATAGAAACCATAAAAATATGAGATACTTTTCATCTGTTGGCATGGCAGCTGGTAGGTGATTAGTATCTTAGAATGGAAGAAAATGAAGACAGAAAGTCTGTGTCTCAGCAGATAGCCGGTCGGTGATGGGCCAGAGAACACAGGGGAGTTGTGTCTTGTGTATTCCACATGCCCACTGCGGTAGGTTCGAAGAGCCCTGGACAGAGAGTTCATGGACCTGGGGTTAGTGTCAAGTCCGCTGTTAACTGCGCGACCCGAGAAAGACCCATCTTGTCCCCGAGCCTCTCTTCCTCATCTGTGCAGGGCAGAGAGACAGCCCTCCCAACTTCCACCTGGGCGGCCAGCCTGGATCTCTTTCCAAACGTACCCTCCGCATAAGATTTCATTTGAGGGGAAAAAGAGCATCAACCGAAAGAAATGGCACCCCCATAAAAGCCAACAGTTGGCAGGTCGGTGAGCTCGATGGCTAATCCCCGTGGCGCCTTCCAGCTCCAAATCCCTATGACATCAGGATGCGTTTGTCCCCTTCCTCCTTCTCAGTAAACACTGCGACCGGCTGCCAGGCCCCAGCGGCTGTTTCTGCCCCCCTTCCTGTGGGGGAAAGGAAGTGTTCTCTCTGCCTCTGGGTCCCCCCAGGGCCCTGGGCAGGCCTAATAATGCAGGGGCTCTGTGCAATGAGGGAGTAGGTCAGCTTCTCAAACGTATCCCGCGAGACCAAGAGCCGTAGCCTAGGGATGCATATTTCGGATGAGTGCTTTCGCGCTTTCTAGTGCACCGTCCCCAGTGATGCCAGCGTCCTCGACCTGGCCCCCGCCTGCATTTATTCCATCCGGAGCCTTGGCGTTTGGAAGGATGTTTGATCATCCTGGCTAAGAGGGGTTGTCTTTTTAAACTATAACAACTACATCGAGACTTTCTTGTCATGGCCTATAAGCCTCCCCAAGCAAGGGCGTGGCTCTGTAGAATCCTCTGGTGCTTAGTTACGGGGCAAACTTTTGAAGGTCATGCTGGAGACACAAGGAAATATGTTTCATGGTCTTCAGGAGTCATCACGGGATAATTTCTGGCCTGGTTTGGCATCTGTGCCCTTGACTCGGCGGCTAATGAGTTCAGGGGAGATGTATAGGGCTAAAATAAAATACTCTTGTTAGAACGCCTTATCTTTTCCAAGGTGGCTTTACATTAATTTCCTCACTGTCTTTTCCCCCAACAACTCTGTGAATTAAGCAGAGAGCGGGTAGCATGATCCCGATTTTGCAGGGGAGGAAGCAGGACCCAGAGAAGTGACAGGGCTCCCCCAAGGTCACCCAGTGATTAAATGGTAGAGTCAGTATGGCAATTCACATCTCTTGCCTCCTGGTCTTTGCTCTTTTCATTAAGCCCAAGTTTGGATTTAGCAGCTCAGTGAAATTTGAGGCACAGGTTTTTACCCACAAGGCTTTGCACTCACCTTTAATGACCAGGGGATTTGTTGCTTGATTTACTGTCTAAAAGCAGAATAGTTAATTAAATATAAAGACAGCAAGCTTTGGTAGGAAAGGGGGAAAAAAATCCCATGTCATTGTTCTTTTGCTAAATGAGAAAGTGCTGAGCCATCTGTCCAAGACAGCAACCCCAAGTGGAAATTTATTGTTCTTTGGTTATTGTTTCAAAAAAACACAAAACCCAGAGGCTTCTGGGTACAGGTATACAAGGAATGTTCGTTGAGGGACAAGAGCAACACAGTTGTTCGTAGCAGTTAATTTTCTTAGTTCTTTGGAAAAACAAAACCAAGCAAAACTCTGAGTATGTTCCCCATGAATACCAAAATGAGATTAAATTCAACATCTAAAGACTTTTAATAAAGACGAAGCCGGAAGGATTCGACCACAGGGAATTGCCGACCAAAAGCATTAGAAAATTGGAAACCAGAAATGAGACACCAGAAGCCAGGAGACATCCCGGGTTACCCAGGAGACCGCGGTGGTACCCAGCTTGGATGGGAGCATATTCTTCCTGTGCCGGAGTGAACAAAACCGAGTAATTATCTCCCCACAGAAATCACAGCAGCCGGTAATTAATGGGCAATGCCGCTCCCAACCAGAGCACCTGTGTCTGCACAGCCCCGAGTGACAAGAAAGACACTTTGACAGTCTCACCTCCAGCTGGTACATATAGGCGGCCTGTCTTCATGCGACCAAGTGTATGAACCACCAGAATGATATGATCTCTGTGTGGGTCAACAGAATAATTATCTTTCCTCCACTGCTTGTTAAGTTGTGTTTTCCCGAAAGACGGGATGAAGTCCTAACGCCCTGGTAGTTGTGAAGGTGACCTGATTTGGAAGTAGGGTCCTTGCAGGTGTCATCAAATTAGGATGAAGTCATTAGGATGGGCCCTGACCCAACACGACTGGTGTCCTTCAAGGGAGAGAACTCAGAGGAGGGGACGACCACGTGGAAATGGAGGCAGAGATTGACGTGGATGCGTCTGCAAGCCAAGAACAGCCTGGAGCCACCAGCATAGAAAGATCCTCTCCTGGAGCCTTTGGAGGGAGCACGGCTGCACCAACCCCTTGATTTTGGACTTCGGGGTCCCCAAACTGGGAGACAGTAAATTTCTGTCATTCAAGACCCCCTGTTTCTGGTGTTCTGTTACGGAAGCCACGCGAAACCCCCCAGAAACACCCACAAGTCCCCAGAAGTGTCTCAGCTGTGGAGTTCCAGCCTGGTGTGTGGGAGGTGCTCCCCCCACATCATGCCGAGTCAGGCAAGGTTAGTGTCGTGACAAGGGGTGGCGGGAACCTGGAAGCCAGCAGCGCATTGGTTGGAAGCCCACCTGGCCTCCCTTTCCAGGAGGCCCGATGACACCCACCAGACACTGTGTGAGCATCGACGTGTGCCTGGAACGTTCTCCCCCTGAGCAGCGCCGGGGCTCACCCCACCTCGTTCAAGCCCTTGCTCAAACGCCGTCTTTATGAGAGGGCTTCTCCAATCAGCGACTGAGACGTGCACCTTGCGCCCCCAGCGTCCCAGCCCCTCTGTTCCAGGTTTCTTCACACTGTCTTCTCTTCGTGCTTCCGTGTTTTGTCTGTTGTCTGTCCCTTCCCTGGAAAATGCTCTGTGAGCCCGTTTTCTACACTCATGTGCCCCGGTACACATAGTAGGCACTGACTACATACTCATTTGTGGAGTAAAGGGATAAATGAATGAATTCCCGCCAGAGACATTGGGATACTTCAGGTCCAGTGGCTCTGGGTCGTCCACTTGTACGAATGTGCTTTCGAGAACAGCGCTCCCCTCTGCTGAAAGGGAGGATGTTTCCCTCTCATGTGTGGAATCTGAAAATCACGGCTTTTCACATGGACTCCCGTATCCCCCAAAGAGAAACGTGGGCCATTATGACTTAGCCACCCCTGCTTTTTAAAGCGGCTGTTGAAGAGGGGCTGAAATCTGGCTTGAACGTTGTCTTGGGCTGTTTGGGCTGTGTAATAAGAATAGCATAGATTTATACATTTGTCTGTCATAGTTCTGGGGACTGGAGGTCCCAGATCAAGGTGCCGGCAGATTGGTTGTCTGGTAAGAAGACCCAGTTGCTGGTTTGCAGCCAGTCACCTTCCCTCTCTGTCCTCTCCTGGTAGAGGGGACAGGGGGCTTTTGAGGGTCCCTTTTATAAGGGCATTAATGCCATTCATGACGGCTCCACCCTTGTGACCTAATCAGCTCCCAAAGGCCCCACCTCTTTTTTTTTTTTTAAATATGAAATTGATTGTCAAATTGGTTTCCATACAACACCCAGCGCTCATCCCAAAAGATGCCCTCCTCAATACCCATCACCCAACCTCAAGGACAAGGGAATTAAAAGCAAAAATGAACTATTGGGACCTCATGAAGATAAAAAGCTTCTGCACAGCAAAGGAAACAATCAACAAAACTAAAAGGCAACCAACGGAACGGGAAAAGCTATTTGCAAATGACAATATGGGACAAAGGGCTAGTATCCAAAATCTATAAAGAGCTCACCAAACTCCACACCCAAAAAACAAATAATCCAGTGGAGAAATGGGCAAAAAGGCCCCACCTCTTAACATGGCCCCCTTGGGAATTAAGACAAAGTGAGTCCCGACTTCAAACACACGTACTGACTGTTCATTCATTCATTCATTCATTAAGTCACCTTACGTAAGACACCGGAGAGGCTCAGGCTCCTTCCTGAATGAGCTCGCAGTCTGGGGGCCGAGGGAAGCCGTGTCTCAAGCAACAGGAAAACAAAGCAGGGAGGAGGCTGCGTCCTGGGTGTGCAATCTGCAGTGCCGCTTGGGGCTCGCGCTCTGAAGAGCCCAGGCTGGCTTCTCGCTCCGCTGGCAGCATTTTGAAATCATTTTCTGTTTCCTCTGGTGTTCTCCTGGAGGTGCAGTCTGCTGGGGTGGGGAGGGAGGGGCGGTGAGCACGAGCAGAGGACACGCGTGTGGTTGCTGTGACGGGTGTGGTTTCCTGCGGCCCCCACAGGTCAGACATCACGGCGCTGCCCTGTCCAGGACATTCGTGTGACGAGCCCTGACACACGGATGGGGTCGTTTCGGTGACTCCACATACAACTTAACCGCCCTTATCTTTGCACTTACAGCTGGCATTGCCCACTATCATCACGGCTGGTAATAACACTCATGCCAATAATTTAAAATCTTGGGGCGCCTGGGTGGCTCAGTTGGTTAAGCCTCCGACTTTAGCTCAGGTCACGATCTCATGGTCTGTGAGTTCAAGCCCCGTGTCGGGCTCTGTGCTGACAGCTCAGAGCCCGGAGCCTGTTTCAGATTCTGTGTCTCCCTCTTCCTCTCTCCTTCCCCGCTCATGCTCTGTCTCTCTCTTCTCAAAAACAAATAAATGTTAAAAAAAAACCATCTTATTATTATTTCTTTTTACTTAAAAGGACATTAAATAGGGGCACCTGGGTGGCTCAGTGGGTTAAGCATCTGACTCTTGGTTTCAGCTCAGCTCACGACCTCACAGTTTGTGAGTTTGAGCCCCATATCGGGCTCCTGCAAGGGATTTTCTCTCTCCCTCTCTCTGCCCCTCCCCTGCTTGCTCTCTCTCTCTCACTCTCTCTCAAAATAAACAAATAAATAAACAAAAAACCCAAAAAGACATGAAACAGAATTCAAGACACCATGGCAGTCAAGAGACTTTGGAAGGCGGGGTGGAGTCTTGGGTTGGTACCTTTAATGGTGCTTTCTGGCTGCTGTTGAACAAGACCCAATCTTTTCTCTGAGTACTGGGTCCTGGGAAATATGTAGCCAGCCTTGACAGGAAGAAACTGGTTCCATTAAAGAGGAACGAATACAGACAGAGGGTTCAGAAGAGAAAGGTCATACCCAGTCGGGGCAAATCAAGAAGGACCTGGCTTTGAGTGGTCTTGGCCACGTGACGGAGGACACGAGAGTCCATCGTGCCCTGCTGTGCCACTTGGAGAAAGCTGGTGCAGGAACACAGAGCCAGGCTAAGGGGTCCAGCAATGAGTGAGGGGCCCAGCTGAGAGCAGGCCTGACCACTCCCAGCTCTGGGTGATGTCACAGAGCAGGACAAAATTTTGGTCCTTTTCAGGATTGTGAGGCCCATCGTGGTCTGGGAGCCCAGAAAGGAGAGGCGGCCTCGGTGGCCACGATCACTAGTTGTCACACCTGGGACGACTGACTGACCTTGTTCCTCCACCACCCATGCCACCCGCTGGGGACACCACTGCCATGGCGGGAGAGGCACCAAGACAAGCTGCTGGTCTGACCAGTACATCCCTGGGCGGCAAACAGAGAGGCCGGAGCAATTGCTTCATGGAGAATTCTCCTCTGGCCTTGGGGGGCTCCCCCACTGTGGGTTCCAAGTGGGGTGGGGATGCATCCCGTAACCTTGCCGGTGCTCTGGGACAGATGCAGATGTCAGATTATCAGCTGTGTGCGTTGGAGGAGAAAGGGGCATGTGTTTTCATACAGGCTGACGGTCACCCAGCCCTTCCTGCGGGCCCAGTGCCTCAACACCATCCTGTGAGGCAGGGGGCTAGACCCCAGCCTGATACAGGAGGGCGTGGAGGCACAGAGAGGGTGTGGAGGTTGCCCCAGGTCACACAGCTGGAAAGAGCTGAAGTTGGGGGCCCCATGGGGTTTGTGGGGGCCTGAGATCTAGACTTCCTCTCTCTGTGGCTACTTGTCATTGGGGCTGACCGGCTCCTGCATCAGAAGGGATGCTGCTCGATCTGCGAGAGGATGCCAGTGACCCTTGGGGGTTCTCTGTCATGGGGTACTTCTGTCTCTTCTTCTTCATGATGGAAGTCAGTGGGTAACAGACCCTGCCAGAGGTCCTGCCTGAGTCCCGGCCAGACTCCCACCCACTCTGTGGTCGCCTCCCAGCCGGGGGAGGGTGCCGGTGGCAGGGAGAAGCCCACGGGTGCCCTGCAGAGCTGTGCGTGGGCAGCTCACACAGGGAGTCGGGGTGGAGTCTGTGGCCCGTGAAAACCCAGTCCAGGCGTCTGGGGCTCCTGTGCTGGTTGTCCTGGGTCCTGTGGCCCAGCAGCTCCTCCCCATTTCGTGCTGAATCCCTGCTCTGCTCCTTGCTACAGAAGCAGACTGCTGGCCTCTCTCTTCCTGTCCCTCCCCCCTCCCTCCGTCACCCTCCCTCCCTCCCTCCCTCCCTAGCTCTCTCTTTCTTCGTCTCTATCAGCTGCTGTTGCCTTGATTTCTGTGTCCCCCGCAGTTCCACCACCCACAGGCTCAGCGTGGTCCCGCTGGCGGCTCTGCCCGGGCACAGAGGCATCCTACTCACTCCAGCGCCTTCTTTCCCTTTGCACTCCCTTCCCAAGTTATTTGTGTTTGCATCAAACAGCAACCAAGAGGTGTGGGCTGAAGCTTGGGCGCAGGGAATGTTCCTGCGCTTCGGAGGGCCTGGGGGTTTTAGCCCAAGGGCTCTGCGGTGAGGATAATTTGCTGTGGGGGATGCACGGAGGGATGGGCAGGAGAGCAGAACCTGGTGCAACGTGTGCACGGGCCCGCCTCCTGGGAGGAGCCATGGGTCCTGGGAGGGACCCCCTCCGGCCCCTGCAGGAAGGTCAGGGGAGGGAGACCCAGCCTAGATGTGGCCCCTCCCATCAGCGTGCAGGCCTAAGGGCATCACTTACACTGGCACTGGAGGAGAGAGACGGAAGGCTGAGCCCTGGCCCCCGGGCGATTACCGGGTGAGACTAGTCGGGAGCAGTGAGAAGGCCCCCCTCCCCCCCCCCCCCCAGGCTGTCCACCCGGGCACAGCCTACCAGGGCATGAGGCCACACTGCAGGCGCCTATCTTCATCAACAGGCAGTGAAAGATAACGGGTGGCCCTCCTCCTCCTCCAGGTCTTCCTGGTTGACAGAATTTTCCAGGGCAGCAATGTCCATAGTGCACGTTGCAGATGGCTTTTCCTCCTCCTCAGCGTCTTCCTCTCCCTGCTCCCTGGGGTCTGCTCTCAAATGAGCCTCTGTGCCCAACCCTTGCCTCAGGCTCTGCCTTGGGGGTAGACCGGAATTAAGACACCTTTCTTCCACAGACCCTCCCCTGACACGGGTCTCTTGGAGTCACAGTGGCAATTCTACTGCTGTATTTGAATACACCCTGGTATCACTTCTTCAGCTTCAGCTGGGTTTTTGGGAGTGGGACTCTGGGTTCTCTTAAACAGGAGGAGAGTATGTGATCAGGTCGGCCCCCGGGGCAGGGGGGCACCCAGTGCATTTACTGATGAGTGGATGGATAACTGACTCAGGTCTTACAACGTGATCGACATTCTTTTCTTACTTCTCACTCACTGAATTTAGGGGTGAACAGACATTCTTTGGAGCCTCATGCAGACTTGTGTCTAAGGACAGAAGGAGCAAGCTTTGCGTGCAGATCTCGGGGGTCCAAGGGGCGCACCAGGCATCCAGTGCTGCCTGCCCCGGGGCGGGGGGGGGGGGGCACCGGCTTCATCCCAAGGAGTGAAATTCACCCTTAAACAATAGTCTAGGAGTCCTTAGACTGCAAGAGAGGGAAGGACCTGGGTGCCTCCCTAGGAAAAGGAAACAAAAACAAAGCAAAAGTTTTACCCACAGGAATGCATTACTTGCTGACTTTTCAAATGGGTTTCACCCCAGGAGCTCAGGAAATTGGCTCCGGGGCCTTTCTTGCTTGCATTTTGCACTGAGGAAACTGAGGGTGGGTCCCAGGCGCAGAATGGAGCTGCCCTGGGTCACAGGGCTGTTTTGTGCAGAGTCCCTGCTGAGGTCACATCCAACTGGAGGACGGGGCTGCAGGGACAGGACGCCGTGAAGGGCTGCACGGACACCGTGAATCCAGCCCTTCCCCGGAGCAGACAGCTCATGCAAAGCAGGAGAGTTATCGATACTTAACAGAGAAAACAAACACAAGTAGAGTGTACTAGAAAAAGCGTCCTCACAGAAAATAAGATTAGTCATTCGAGGGAGGGAGAAAAGAGAACGCTAACATAGAACAAAAGTAATTCCCCTTGACAACCCCGGACCGCCTGCCTCCGCCACGGCATTTTCCACCTCGGTACCATTTGTAAATTTATCCTTTCTTTGGTCCTTCCATTGGTTTCCTTTCCTTTCCTTCATCTGTGGTTTATGCTAACGCACAGGAAGACCGGCTTCTAGCCTGCTGCCTGCTTGTTTTTCCGGAACATTTCTGCCGTTTCTCTATGCCCATTTGTCTCCCTCTTTGCTTAAGAAGGATCTTATGTCCAGGGCGCTTGGGTGGCTCAGTCAGTTGAGTGACCGACTTTGGCTCAGGTCATGATCTCGCGGTCTGCGAGTTTGAGCCCCTCACCGGGCTCTGTGCTGACAGCTCAGAGCCTGGAGCCTGCTTCCGATTCTGTGTCTCCCTCTCTCTCTGCCCCTCCCCTGCTTGCTCTCTCTCTCTCTCTCTCTTTCAAAAATAAATAAAACATTAAAAAAAAAAGAAAAAAAAAGAAGGATCTTATGTCCAATCCCAGGGGTCAAAAGTCACAAAAAAATAGTGAAGGTTATTTAGGAAGAACAAAATGGCAAAATGGTAAAGCCCATTCTTCCACGGCACTCAAATTTGATTACGTTGATTCAAGTCCTGACAGGATCAGAACAGCTGGCCAGCAGGGAGGATATCCGCAGCACCCTGAGGTCTCCTCCCAGCACCGTGGGCGCAGGATGTCAGGGGAGGTCTGGGGAAGGTGTCGAAGTGGGTGTCTTCTGCAGGATCTGGGGGTCAGCTGGCAGAGGACGGAGATGGGGTACAGCGTCTTGTTTCCTGGCTGGGTCTCTACCAGCAACTCATCCATCGAAAATGAAATCTCGGTTTTCCACATGAAAAATAAAGGCCCTGATTTTCCTTTCGCCAAGAGCTTACGGAATGTAAATGAACCCTTTTCTGCAACACCGAGCCCAGATGCAGAAGATCATCTCACACCAACCAGATAAAAACACGATTAAACAGTATTTTCCCAAGCATCTTCCTCTCATTTAACGTCT